ATGATCTTTGGAAAATAAAAACTAGATTTCTTCCCGGGTGTCAGAAAGACTTTCCCTCCGCCTCAGAATATAGTGCAGTCCCCTCTCACAGCCTCCAGCCTCCCAGAGAGACCTGCCTTCCTCAGTTTCCCCCCCTTACACTTTCTCCCTGCGACTACCGTCATATACCCACTCACCTGGTCACCCATCAACTAGGCTCGTGGTCCCTTCGTGTGCCCAGCATGCCCCAACTTCAGGACTTTGCCTTTGTTCCCTCTGCCCCCCAATCCTCACGTTGTCCCCCTCGTGCCCCGCTATGGAGATACCTGCCGGAATGTCATCCCCTCAGAGGGGCTCTGTGTGCCCCTTGTCCTCTCTTTCTCCACCCCCCGTTCATGGTCTAGCTAGCTCTGAGCACTGCAATTTCCAGTGTCTGAAGTTCCCCTCCTCCACATGAAAGACCTTGAGGTAACCTTGTGCCCATGCTCATCCCTGGGGTCCTAGAGCAAGGCCACGTGCAGTCGGTGCTTAGGAAACTGGTTGAACATCAGACCCCAGCAGGGCCCGCGGTCAGACACGGCTCAGCCAGACACCGGCTTCATCTTAACCGTGAATAACTCTGAATTGCTTTGACCCTGAGATCCCGCATCTCTTCCTAGCAACCCCCAGGGGGATGCCCTAGCTGGGGGTCCTGGCCTCGGGGACCGTCCCTGCCCCAGCCAGGGTTCCCACACCTATGAAATGGTTCATGGTGAACAGCTGGTCGGGAGGGTGTCCGCCCTCCCCTGGGTGGCCAGGACACTGCCTGTCCCTCTTGACGCCCTGTTCCCTAGGCACTCTGTCTCCGTGCAGACCCCAGGAGAAGGCCCCCTCATTCATTCCCCACTGCCAATCCCTGCAAGCGGACAGAGGGGGGGAGCATTCTGCCTATTTGATAGTCATGACCACATTAAGCAAATGAGATGCAAAACAGCGCTGATGAGGGCTGATTGCCTGTGCCCTGGTGCCAGCGGGGCTGGTGGCATCGGCCCCGGGCTCCCGAGGAGGTAGGGAACGCTGCTGTGACTTAGGGGGGAGTCCAGGAGAGAAGTGGGGGCCCCCCGGGGGCTGGAGCAGCAGTACAGTGGGCAGGGCGTGGGCCTCGTGTGCAGCCAACCTGAGTTTGGTCCCTGGCACCCCATTTGGTCCCCTGAGCCTGCCAGAAGGGAGCCCTGAGCATTGCTAGGTGTGACCCCCAAAAAACAGCAACAACAACAAAAAGAAGTGGAGGACCCAAGGGCTGCTGGTTCATGACCCAGGGGGGACCCTCTTCTGTAGACTGGCCCTGCCTGGGGGTCTGGACCATGACGGGGCAAGAAGGGGGTGTGGGGGCAGTTAGGGGGGAAGTCCCTGGGCCTATCAGGAATCTGCCAGCGGGAGTATAGAACATTCCAGATGGGTGACGGGGATCCTCTCAACAGCAGATGGGGGTGGGGGTGGACGGCCTCTGAGCTGGTGGCAGGCCTGACAGAGGGGTCACTGCTCAGGGGTCTGCGGGCAGCAGATGGGCTGGGTCAGCTGACAGGGGGTCGTTCCCTGGATGGTGCGGACTCCACAGGGGAAAGATGATCTGGGCAGGGGGCCGGCAGGTGGGCTGGGGCTCCGCTTACCACACCAGGGAACTCAATCCTTCCCCACCCCAGCTGGGGTCCTCCTGCTCCCCACCCTCATGGCCTGACCCTAGGGGCGGTCTTGGGGCCCGGGATGGCCAGGCAGGAAGTGGCCTGTCCTTTGCGGGTCCTCGTTCATTTGTGCTGTTGTTTGAGGGGCACTTCCCATATGATCCTGTCCTGCTTTTGATGTAAGGCAGGTCACTTCACTGTGAAACTTCTAGAAACTGGTAGCTGGGGGCTTGCTTTGCACATAGCTGACCTGGGTTGGACCCTCCCAGGACTCCATAAGGTCGCCTAGGCCCCACCAGGAGTGATCCCTGAGCACCTGTGGGTGTGGTCCAAAACACACAAAAAAGAAAAGGAAGGGAGGGAGGGAGGGAGGGAGGGAGGGAGGGAAGAAAGAGAGGAAGAAGAAGGAAGGAAGGAAGGAAGGAAGGAAGGAAAAAATTGGGTAACTATTACTGTGTTTTAATCAAATTCTCTCTCCCTTACCTCCCTTCCTTTTATTTTCTCCCTCTCTCCTTCCCACTCCTTTCTCCCTCCCTCCCTCCCTCCCTCCCTCCCTCCCTCCCTCTCTACCTCCCCCCTTCCTTCCTTCTTTCCTTCCTCCCTCCCTCCCTTCCCCCTCCCTGCCTACCTCCTCCTCTCTTCCTTCCTTCTTTCATACCCTGTGGTGATCAGTGGGGCTTCCCTGACAAAGTGCTCGGGGATCTCCCATGAATACTGAGACCATGCAGAGCCAGGGATCGAACCCGGTCCCTGCTCACAAACCACACACTCCAGCATCTTTGAGCCTTGTCCTCAGCCCCCAGGCAGCCTTCGGGAAGTAGTAAGTGCAGGGCTGGGGAAGACTGGGCAGGCAGTGGGGCCCAGACCCAGTCCAGGCATTGCCTGGCGCACTGTCTCATAGCCTTGGGCTCCAGATTGGACCAGCCAGGACCGTGATGGCTGCCAGGACAGGAGAGCAGGGCCCACGAGACCCACCATCTCAGCAGCGTAGGACCGGAACACCTGTGCACCAGTGAAAAAGAGGAGAAGAAATACATAATACATGATTTGCACAGAGGCAGAGAGGAAAAGCACAGGCCAGAGAGCACAGACCGCGCTGGGGGAAGGTCAAACCCGGGAGCAAACCCAAAAAGAGCGTTATAATGAGAATATTCCCGTCAGCGGAGGGAGGACACGGCCCGCCCTGTGATCCAGGCGCGCTCCCTGTTCCGGGCGGCCACTTTTGCACCGACCAGGAGACCGTGACTGTGTCTGTGGGCAGCAGCCCGGAACCGTGGCCCAGGCCAGGCCCACGCGGTGGCGCCCCCAAGTGGCCGGCTGTGGGGTGAATGGGAAGTCCCTGCCGGTCCACCCAGTGCTCCCCCGCAACACCTGTGCCCCTGACTGCGCTTCTGATTTAACGGGCAGGCGGGAGCCGGACCGGAAGAGGCGGGCCGAGGGAACTCAGTGGGCGGGCGCTCAGGCTCTGAGTGCGGGAGGCCCGGGTTCGATCCCCAGTGCTGGCAGCAGCGACCCCTGAGCACAGCTGGGGGTAGCCCCTCAGTCCCTCTGGGTGTGCTCCCGCCCCCCAAGAAGCACCATGGAAGACACTGTTCCTAACATCTATTTTTTTTTTTGCTTCATTTTAAATGTACTTTTGCTTCCTTCTGGTTCCATCTGCCCTCCCCAGGCTCTGTGGGGGTCCCTGAGAACTTCCAGGGGCTCAAGACTGCAGGGACCCGGCCAAGTGTCTCTCTGACGTGCAGAGACGCCAAGTCTGAGGGGGCAGTCCTGCCATGCCCCCCCCCCGCCCCCCCGCAATGGGGTGTTCCTGCTGTGGGGCGGGGTGCAGGGGTGGGATGCGGAGGTGGAGAGCTGTTGAAGCTCATTGCGCTCTGTTCTGTCGCAAGACCAAGCATCAGGACTGGCCAGCACCCTGGGGGGGGGGGGGGTCAGCATCAGCCTCCTTCCGCCCCCGGGTGGGGGGGGGGTGACAGGCTCTAGGTGGGACCTAGGGCGGGCTAGGCAGAGACTTGCAGAAGGGAGGGGAAAATGAGGGCCCGCCTGCACCCCCCCCAGTGTCTGATCCTCAGAAGGCACAGGCGTGCCAGCCCCGCGTCACCTCCTTACCTCCCCTGTCCCCCACTGCGGCACTCTTGACGCCTCCCTGAGACCCGCTGATGCTGCCGGGCGAGGGATGGGCGGGGCGGGGCGGGGGGCGCTGCAGGTCAGGCTGTGACTGGGTGTTCCAAGGGTTCGTGTGTGGTGCTGGAGCTGAGGACAGGGGGTGTGCATGGCTTAGAGAGGGCTGTGGGCTCACACTCCGGGCGCGGCTGTGTGTGTACTTGTGCGGGGAGATGCGGACCAGCACCCCGTGGGGCGCAAAGACACTGTGGGTGCTCTGGATGGGGAGAAAGAACACGGCAGGAAAGGCGCCTGCCTGGGTCCCATCCCCGGCACCCCAGAGCGCTGATAGGAGTGGCCCCTGAGCACAGAGCTGGGAATAAGCCCTGAGGATAGCTGGGTGTGGCCCCAAAATAGGAGGAAGGGAGGAAGGAAAGGAGGGAGGGAGGGAGGAAGGGATGGGAGAAGGGAGGGAGGAAGGAAGGAGAAAGGAAAGGAAGGTAATAGGGAGGAAAGAGGGAGGGAGGAAGAAAGGAGAGGAGGGAAGGAGAGGAAGGAAGGAGGAAAGAGGAAGGAAGGAAGGGAAGGAGGGAGGAAGGAAAGAAAAAGGAAAAGAGGGAGGAGGTAAGGGGGAAAGAGGGAGGAAGGAAGGAAGGGAAGATGGAAGGAAAGGAGAGGGAAGGAAGGATGGAAGGAGAAAGAAAAGGAAGGAAGGAAGGGAAGAAGGAAGGAAGGATGGAGAAAGGAAGGGAGGGAGGAAGGAAGGGAGGGAGGAAGGAAGGAAGGAAGGAAGGAAGGAAGGAAGGAAGGAAGGAAGGAAGGAAGGAAGAAGGAAGGATGGACTGGAACTTTCCGAGCGCCCGAATGCATGTGAGCTGGGCGGGGGTGGCCGCCGAGGCCGGAGTCACAGGGCCGGGGAGCCGCCGGGGGCCAGCAGTGTCCGGCTGGGCGCCTCCCGCGGCCGGCCTGTGGATCGGGCGCGGTGGCGGCCCCTGCGCGCCCAGCCTGCCTGGAGCACCGGCCTTAGCCCGAGCGGTGACCGGACACGCGCGGCCCGGCGGAGGGTGCTGGGGGCGGGGAGGGCGGGACGGCGCGCGGGGAGGGCGCGGGGCGCGGGCGCGGGCGCTGACGGCGGGGCGCGCGGGGTGCGGGCCGCCCCGGGGTCCGCGGCGCGGGGCCGGCGGCGGCGCAGCTTTGCCCGGTTGCCATGGAAACCAGCAGCAGGAGGTGGGTGGCGGGGGAGGGGGAGGGGCGGCAGCGGCTGCGGCGGCGCTGGCGCGGCGGCTTCCCGCGGCGGAGGGGACCCCGGGGCACCGAGCCCCCCGCCGCCCCCCGCCACGGACCAGGACCCGGAGCGCCCGGGCCGGGCCCAGCGGGGGCCGCGCGCCCACCTGCCCCTGGCGCGGCGCCCTCGCGGGCCCAGGTAGGCTGCCCGCCGGCCGCGGGGACCCCGGGGCGGGGGCCGGACCCCGCCGCGGGGCTCGGGGTGGGCGGGGGGCGGCCGGGCCGGGAGGGGCGTCCGTCTCGGCCTCCCCCGACCCCCCGGGGCCGCCCGCGCATCCCGCCGGCCGCGGGGACCGGCCGCCCCTCCTCTCCGTCCCTCTGCGGCACGGCCGGGGACAGGCCGGCGGGGAGCCGCGCCGGTGGGGGTGGGGCCCCCAGGAACTGGGCCGCTGCGGGGTTCGGGGGCGCGGGTGGAGGGGGGGCCCTGCTCGTGAGTGCTGCGGGGCCCCGGGGGGCCCTTCTCTCCCGGCACCTCCCGGGGCTGCCCACTGTGGGGGTCGGGGTGGGGAATCTATGCAGAGACCCCAGGTCTCTTCTGCTCACGTGGTCGCACCCACAGCGTCGGCTCCCGGCTCTCCTTGGGGTTCAGACCTAGCGGGTGACAGGCCCCTGTCCCCCCCACCCCCGCAGGCCCCCACCTGTCCCAGCCGGCCTGGCCCCCCATCACCTCCGCCGCTGTCACTGCAAAGGCCCCGGGCCCCACGGGGTTCGCATCTCCCTGGAGCCCGGCCGCGGCCTCCCCGGGCTGGGCACCCCCCATGTGGCGCCCGTGGTCTGGGTGGGTGCAGGCCCAGGCCTGGCGCATCCCCTTCCTGCCCTCCTCACCGAGCGGGCCCCCCTTTTCTCTCCCACTTCTCCCTGTAGGTCTCCCTCCTTCCTCCCGTTGCCCCCAGACTCTGGCAGTGAGCCCCCCCAGATGTGCTTCCTGGAGCACATTTCCCATCGTCCCGCACCCACCCTCTCCCGGGGTGGGTTCCCTCCCCCTGCTGAGGGAGCCGAGGGTCCCCAGATACCCAGAGGCCTGGGCCCCGTGGGAACTGGGGCTGGAGGGAGGTCTGGCCCCCCAGGACCTCTGGGGAAGTGAGGGGACCCCCCAGACTCCAAACTGCCCTGGGAGTTAGGTCTCCACTAAATGCACCCCCATGGTGTCCCCCCCACTGCAGGCCCCTGGCTCTGCCCTGACCCCCGTCATGACCCCAAGTCTGTCCTTCAAGGCCCTGGGGTTGCCTCCTCCCTCCGGACCTCCCCCAGTGGCCTCCTCCCTCTGTTCTGTCCCTCCTCCACGCAGGAGTCAGGTGCCACCGGGGTCCTAGGCACTGGCCGTGCTTTGCTCTCTGCCCCCAGCTCTGCCTGGGCATCCCCGCCCCCCCCCCCCCCCCCAGCTCTGGGCTAGAAGCTCCTTGCTCGTCCTGCCTGTCCCCTCCCTGCGGTGTCCATCTGCGCGGAGCTGGGCCTGGCACCTGCTCGTCCCCTGGCCCTCCCTGCTCTCGTGTCTGCCCACCAGGCTGTTCCCGGGGGCAGGGCCGCTCCTGTCCCGCCTGCCAGGGCTCCCAGAGCTGTGGGTGGAGCTGTCATTCCACCCAGGGGTCCTCCAGCAGTCCTGCCCGCTGTCTCTGCGGGCCCGGGGGCCAGTGCTCAAGGTGTGTGGGCCAGCGCCCGTGTCCTGCTGGCCAGATAGGATGGAGGGGGCCACTGGAGCAGGGCACCTCTGCCCAGCCTGGGAGAGAGAGAGTGTGTGTGTATCTGTGTGCATGTGTGTGTGTGTCTGTGTGCATCTCTGTGTGTATGTTTACCTGTGTATATGTCTGTGTGTGTACCTGTATGTGTGTGTGCCTGTGTGTATGTGTATATGTGTGTGCCTGTGTATATGTATGTGTGTGCCGGTGTGTGTTTTGTGTGCATGTGTGTGTGCATCTGTGTATATGTATGTGTGTACCTGTGTGTGTACCTATGTATGTGTCTGTGTGTGTATGTGTGTGCTGGTATGTGTTTTGTGTGCTTGTGTGGATGCGTGTGTGTGTTGTGTGTGCGTGTGTCTGTGTGTGTACCGGTGCGTGCGTCTGTGTCTGTGTGTATGTGTGCCAATGTGTGTTGTGTGTGGATGTCTGTGTGGATTCCTGTGTGTGCATGTGTGTACCTATGTATGTGTGTCTGCGTGTGTACCTGTGTGTGTGTCTGTGTGTGTATGTGTGTATGCCGTTATGTGTTGCGTGTGCATGTGTGGATGTCTGTGTGTTTGCCTGTGTGTGCATGTGTGTACCAGTGTGTGTGCCTGTGTGCACGCCCAGGGCTGCTGAGAAGGGCCCTCCTTGCTGAGCAGAGTTGGGGGCCGTATGGAAAGAGGGTGCTGTACCCCAGCTGCACACCCCGGGCTCCCTGAGATTGACAGGGATCAGGGCACATGTGAGTGTGAAATGACCCAGGCTCCATCCCGAGCCTCGTTGGGATGGTCTGGACACTCCTGAGCACTGTGGGGTGGTCCTGCGGGTCCCCTCGCCGTGTCCCTGGGCCCTCCTTCTGAACACCAGCCTGACTGGCCCGGGTTTGAGCCCAGCTTCGCTACACTTGTTTAGTGCTTCCTGGGGTGAGCAGGTCATCTTTGGTCTTACTAGGGCAGGAGCGAGGTGGGAGAGTGCGGGGCCATTCAGGGAAGGCTTCCTGGAGGGGCAGCAGGGTTCTTGGGGGAGAGGAGACAAGGGAGAGAAGGTGAGGTGATGTGTGTCGCTGGCGGCTGGGGACAGAAGCCCCTCGCAGCTCCCCCGGCCCCCTCTGTCCGCCCGTCGTGGGAGGTGCCGGGGCACAGCTGCTGGATGTCTGGGGTGGTCTCGGCCCCATCCTGTACCACAGGAGGCAGTTCCGGCTTCCCCGGAGCAGAGTTCCGTGACCCCAGGGCCAAGAGGACTGGGGTGACCCTCCCAGGTGCTGGCTCTGGACTGGCCCCCGCGGGGACTCAGGGGAAGGACTCACCCCTGGAATAGGGCCTGACCGTCCCTCCCAGCTGTGTGACCACAGAGAAGTCACGGCCCGGCCTGGCCGGCGAGGTGTGAGGGTCACACAGCCGGGTGCACGCAGACCCCCACTATTGTACCCCATGTCTGTGCCGTTTCAGACCTGTGGGGTGTCCAGGGCGCCAGGAAGGAGGAACTGGTGCCCCCCCTCTGTTTCGCCATGTGTGCCCAGAAGGCCGGGGTGGGCACAAGAAGCCAGGCCCGGGGACTGGGAGGGGGGGCTGCGTTTCTGCGGGTCTGGCTTGGGCTCACATCACCTTTTGCTTTTTGGGTGACACCCGGCGATGCTCAGGGGTTACTCTTGGCTCATGCACTCAGGAATTACTCCTGGCGGTGCTCAGGAGACCATATGAGATGCTGGGAATCGAACCCGGGCCAGCCACGTGCAAGTCAAACACCCTACCCGCTGTGCTATCGCTCCAGCCCCCATGCATTACCTTTTGGTTCTGTTTTCGGGCCACACCCAGCTGTGCTCAGGGCTCACTCCTGGCTCAGCACTCAGGACTCACCCTGGCAGTGCTCAGGGGGCCATATGGGGTGCTGGGGATTGAACTCAGGGTGGGCCGCATGCAAGGCAATACCCCGGCCCTACAAACTCACTCTGAGAGCTGTCACTGGCCCCAGGATCTCTACTTTCTCTCTACGTCTAGTGGGCACCTGCTGTGTGCAGGTGACTGTGTTTGGCACTGGGATGGGTTGGGAATTTGGTGTTTTTGCTCTTTAATGGATGAATGTTCCAGAAGGTCCTTGGCATTGCTTCACTCATTCAACAAAAATGTCTCACACAAGCTGTGCCAGGCACTGCTCTGGGTGCTGGGAACACAGCGGAGAACCACGCAGACAGAATCGACTGAATAGAAGTGGGAGAGGAGGACAGGGAATTGCTGGGGAGGGCCCCCTGGGGAGGACCGATGGGTAGGGCCCGCTGGGGGGGCCACTGAGTGGGGGCCCTTACAGCCCCTCAGACACAGGCAGAGGGAGAAGGAAGGGGCGCAGGGTGGGAAAGGGCGTGTGTGTTGAAGAAAGGGAGACATCTGAGCAGATCTGGAAATCTATGGGGGAAGCTCTCTAGTAGGTGCAAAGACCCTGAGGTCAGGACAGGGAGAAAGTAGAGCTGGAGCAGGAGGGAGGACAGAGGGTGAGGGCTGGACCAGCTGGACTTGAGGAGCCTCCTGGAAGGAAAGAACTTGAACATGGAGGAAGTTGGGAGCTATGGGATGATGCTGAGGAGGGTAGCAGTGAGGTCTGGTTTGGATCTGACCCGTTTCCCACAGGCTGCTGTGGGGGGAGTAGGCAAGAGGTTCCTGTGGAAGGAGGGGGCCAGGCGCAGGGAGGTTGTAGGGAAAGCACAGAATCTGGGGCCAGACAGATAGCACAGTGGGTGAGGCACTTGCTTTGCTTGTGGCCGACCCAGGTTCAGTCCCCAGCACCCCAGATGTTCCTCTGAGCACTGTCAGGAGTGATCCCTGAGCAGAGAGCCAGGAGTCAGCCCTGAGCATAGAGTCAGGAGTGATCCCTGAGCACAGAGCGAGGAGTCAGCTCTGAGCACAGAGCCAGGAGTGAGCCCCAGTATCTGGTGTTGCTCTCCACAAAATAGATTAAGTTTCAAACACTGGACTTAGGGGAATAATAATGGATTAGGGGCAGGTTCCATGGGACAGGGCAGGAAGGGAGAGGGAGCCCTCCTCTCTGCCCCCACCTCTCACACACACACCCAAGTCATCAGCAGATCCTGAGATTTTTCTTTTTTTGAGGAGAGGGGTCACACCCAGCAGTGCTCAGGGCTGACTCCTGGCTCTGCGCTCAGGGATCATTCCTGATGGTGCTCTGGGGACCATATGGGATGCCAGGGATCAACCCGGGTTGGCCTCAGGCAAAGCAAATGCCCTCCCCACTGTGCTATCACTCTACCCCCAAGCACAAACCTCCAAATCAGTCTTCTGCTCTTCTGCTTAATGACATGACTCGGAGGGTCTCCTCCAGACTAGAACATTCTATGACTCCCTACTTTCCCTACCCAGCCCCTGAGCCCCTGAAAACGGCAGCATCTGGGTCTTTTCCAGCCTTCAGCGTTGACAGCGGGAAGGGGATCTGGTCACCTCCTGGGGTCACCTACTCGCTAATGGACAGCAGGGCCCAGTTTCCCCCTTTAGTCTTTGCCAAGTTATGGCCCCTCTGCCTTCAGCCCTGTGATCTTCATTTCCAAAATAAACCAAAGAATCCAATGTTTTGTTTTGTTTTCTTTTTGAGGGGGGAGGGTTGGGCTAACCGTGCTCAGGTCTTACCCCTGGATCTGTACTCAGGGGTCACTCCTGGCGGTGCTGGGGTACCACGTCTGGGACTGGGGGGTCAAGCTGGAGAAAACTGCCTGCAAGGCAAGGGCCTCACCCTGTACTGTCTCAGCCCTGGGGCCCAGCCCTTTGTGGCTTCAAGGGCCCTTGGGGGCTCTGGCGGGGGCTTCCTTCTTCCTTCTTCCTCTTCCTTCCATGGAGGCTTCTCCAGAGCTAGAGAGATAGCACGAGGTTCAGTAACATGCTTGTTTTGCAGGTGGCCTAGACCCTGATCCTAGTTCAAATCCCTGTATCACATATGGTTCACGCACCGCCAGGTGTGTTCCCTACGCAAGGACCCAGATGTCACCACATGCTGCCCCCCACTCCCCAAACACACACAAACTCCTCCAAGCTAAAAAGCAAAATGCTTTTAATGGTTTTTGATTTTGAGCCCACACCTGGCAGTACTCAGGGGTTACTCCCAGCTCAGTGCTCAGGGGATTGTGTGGTTCTGGGGGACAGGGGGTCTCGGGGTCACTGGATGGTGAGTCCGGGGCAGGAAGTCCTCATCCCAGTATGGGGGATCCCGCACCCCCACACCAAGTTGGGACTCCAGCTCTAAGATGGGGTGCACGGGGACACTCCTCTCATCTCTGGGGTCTCTCTTCTGCCCGGCAGCGCATGAGCAGCCCGGCCCGCTGACCACCGCACCGCCGCTGTCCACCCCGTCACGGCCACGCCATGTCCGGCTCCTACGATGAGGCCTCGCTGGCTGCAGAGGAAACCACAGACAGCTTCTGGGAGGTGAGCTGTGACCCCCAAAGGCCAGCCCTGGCCCCAGCCAGCTGGGGCTCAGGCCTTGCTCTCGGGAGTGGGGGAGATGTCTGCCCCTGAGCTTGCGCCCCTCATCCCCATAAGGCCCCGGGAGGGTCCCCCTGCACTTCCACTGCTGCCCGCCACTGCCCTCTGCCTTGGACAGGGGAGCGGAGAAATAAGGGGTGTTTCAAGGACTGCCAGCACTTGGAGGGGGGCGGGACGGAGGACAAGGCAGGAGGATTTAAGAGGCAGAGCAATGTTTTTCCATCGGCTCCTGAGCCCCCAAACGTAAACTGCCAACGCCAAATTAATATGTGTTTAATGAGACGTCGACAAAGCCTAATATTGTGTCAAGACGCCGCAGCTCCACTGGCGCGTATGTGTCTGTATAAATACCGGGAGCACATGCATAATTCATCCCAGCCCAGGGCCAATTAGGGAAGCGCTTTCGCATTTCGAAGCAACAGGGAAATCATGTGTAAAAAGGGGCGAGGGGCTCTAGAGACCTCGGGGGTGGGATGCTGGAAAGGGGCGCGGGGCGGGGGCGGGGAGGTGGGGGAGAAGCCATAGGCGCGCGGGCGCCCCCTGCCGGGTGCGGCGGGCACGGCGGGAGGCCCCTGAGGCGGGCGGGGCTGTCGGGGAGGCGAGGCGGGTGCGCGGGCGCGGGCGCCCCCTGCAGGACGCGGAGGGCAGGGCGCACGGGCTGCGGGGAGGCTGGGAGCCCGCGCGAACTCGTCTCACCTGCTTGGCCCCCAGGTGGGGAACTACAAGCGGACGGTGAAGCGCATCGATGACGGCCACCGCCTCTGCAATGACCTGATGAGCTGCGTGCAGGAGCGCGCCAAGATCGAGAAGGCCTACGCCCAGCAGCTCACCGACTGGGCCAAGCGCTGGCGCCAGCTCATCGAGAAAGGTGACCCCTTTACTCATGCTGTGCCCAGCCCGCCTGACCCCTCTGACTGCATCCTACCCAGGGCCTTTGCTGCCGCTGGCCCCACACCTGCACACCTGTCCCTCTCCCGCCCCAAACCAGGCCTTGCTGTCCCTGTTGTACAAAACTCGGTACCATTTTTGGTTGAGCACAGCCCCAGAAGTAGCCTTTGAGCACAGCCGGGTGTGGCCCCCAAACCAAACGAAAGCAAACCATCACCTTTTTCTTCTGAAATAATTTAAACAGAAAAGCTGCATGAATAGTCCAGAGAAACTTGATCCTTTCACTTAGGAGGTAATACCTCACCTTTTATTTTCTCACTCTATGGGCATATTTTTCAAAACCCTTTAAATGCGACCCTTTACCCCCAAAGTCTTCATGTAAGCACCTGAGAAGGAGAACCTTTGTTTCTGTGCCCGGAACTCAGCCGGACTCCAGGCCAGATAGGGGCACTATGTAGATTTCCCTCCAGGACGTGGGTTCCAGGATCCAACCCAACCTCTCGCGGGCCCTTTGCCGTCAGATTCCTAGAGGGAAGGCTTTGGTGCCTGCCAGTACAGCAGTTCCAGCTGGGGGTCTCTATGTCTGAGTTGCTGGTTTTCTTTGTCACTCGCCTCCCAGTCCCAGGGCCGGGGCTGTGCCCATTCTGCCCGGCATGGAGCCTGGCCCAGGGCCCAGAACACAGAACAAATGACAAGACCAGCTGGCCGCAGAGGCCTCGCGCCTCCCTCACCACCTGGCCCTGCTACATCCAGCCCCCGTTTCAGGAGCCCCTTCTGTGGGCCTGGTGCCCAGACGGCCCCCCTCAGGCTTATGAGCCTGGGGTGCGGGGAGACGGGAGCAGGTGCAGGGGAGGGGTCTCAGGGAGGTGGTCTGAGGGGCTCCTGTGTGTGGGGGGGGTGGAACTAGGCAGAGGGTAGGACAGGGTCTCTCTGCCGCCGTGGGAGGCAGGGGGTCTCCTCCAAGCGAGGAGGCCTGGGGAGGCGGGGGTGTCCGTGGGGTACCGAGGGCCCGTGATGTCCCCCCATTGGCCGGTCCTTCAGGCCCACAGTATGGCAGCCTGGAGCGCGCCTGGGGGGCCATGATGACGGAGGCAGACAAGGTGAGCGAACTGCACCAGGAGGTGAAGAACAACCTGCTGAACGAGGACCTAGAGAAGGTCCGGAACTGGCAGAAGGATGCCTACCACAAGCAGATCATGGGCGGCTTCAAGGAGACCAAGGAGGCAGAGGACGGCTTCCGCAAGGCCCAGAAGCCCTGGGCCAAGAAGATGAAGGAGGTGCCCGGGGGCAGCTGTGGCGGAGAGGGGCCATCTGGCCAGAGGGAGGGGGTCTGGTCAGAGGGAGGAGGTCTCCGAACCTCCCCTCCCCCAGATCGTGCGCATAGGAAGTAGCCCAGCTTCTCAGGAAGAAATCAGGGGACAGGGGGCTGGAGAGATAGCACAGCGGGTAGGGCGTTTGCCTTGCACGCGGCCGACCCGGGTTCGATTCCCAGCATCCCATGTGGTCCCCTGAGCACCGCCAGGAGTAATTCCTGAGTGCATGAACCATGAGTAACCTTTGTGCATCGCCGGGTGTGACCCAAAAAGCAAAGAAAAAAGAAATCAGGGGACAGGCGGGAGGATAGGGTGTCCTCCCTGCAGCGGGCAGGCACCACGGGGCCGCGGGAGTGGGCACTGCTGGGGCTCCAGCCCCCCAGCCCAGCCAGGACGCGGATGTGTCCGACTCACCGGTCCCCGCCCGGCCCCCAGCTCGAGGCGGCCAAGAAGGCCTACCACCTGGCCTGCAAGGAGGAGAAGCTGGCCGTGGCGCGGGAGATGAACAGCAAGTCCGAGCAGTCCGTGACCCCCGAGCAGCAGAAGAAGCTGCAGGACAAGGTGGACAAGTGCAAGCAGGATGTGCAGAAGGTGCTGGCCGGCCCCAGGGGCCTCGGGGGTGGTGGTGGGGGCGGGGGCGCCGCAAGGCCTGGTTCTCATCTTCTCCTTTCCCCCCACTCGCCTTCAGACCCAGGAGAAGTACGAGAAGGTGCTGGACGACGTGGGCAAGACCACCCCGCAGTACATGGAGGGCATGGAGCAGGTGTTTGAGCAGTGCCAGCAGTTCGAGGAAAAGCGGCTGGTCTTCCTCAAGGAGGTGCTGCTGGACATCAAACGCCACCTCAACCTGGCGGAGAACAGCAGGTAGCGGGTGGTGTGGCAGCGTCGTGGAGTGTCCCGGGCCCTGCTGGCTCAGGACAGGAAGAGGCAGGCAGGAGGAGGGGTTAGCCCCAGGACTGGAGGGACAGCGCCGGCCTTACAGGCTGGCCTTGCACGCAGCCACGTTGGGTTTGCTCCTCTGCTCCCCCTCTGGTCCCCTGAGCCCTGCCGGCAGTGCCCCTGAGTGCCGAGCCAGGAGGAAGCCCCGAGCATCACTGGGCATGGCCCAGCTGCCCGTCTAATAAAAGAGGGAGAGGTGGTGTGAACCCAGTGGGTGTCAGGGCCAAGCCAGACGCACGAGGCATCGGCTAGGTGGACGGCTGCATCCCTGTGGGGGGAGGGGAAGGGTGGCTCGGGGTGTCCCGGGGGTGCTGCCCATGGGAAACTTTGCTGGGGAGAGCATCCACCTGAGCCGCCTGAATCCCAGCGCTCCAGGAAGAGGAGGGGCCTGGTAAACCTGTTTGCCCCCCCCCCCCCATCTTCCCTGGGCACAGCTACATGCACGTGTACCGCGAGCTGGAGCAGGCTATCCGGGGGGCCGACGCCCAGGAAGACCTCCGATGGTTCCGCAGCACCAGCGGGCCCGGCATGCCCATGAACTGGCCCCAGTTTGAGGTGAAGATGTGCGGGGACGGGGAAGGGGCGAGTGAGGAGAGTGAGGAGGGGCGAATGAGTGGGGCGGCCTCTGGGGGCAGCCCCGCACTGCCCCCCCCCAACGCCCCCAGCCTGACCACTCCCTGGGCCTCCCCCTCTCCCCTCGGCAGGAGTGGAACCCAGACCTCCCTCACACTGCCGCCAAGAAGGACAAAGTTCCCAAGAAGGCCGAGGGGGCATCGCTGAGCAACGCTGCTGGGGCGGTGGAGTCCACCTCGCAGGCAGGAGACCGTGGCAGGTGAGTGCCCCGGCCAGGGCCGCGGGGGTGCCCACACTGGGGCAGCTGAATTTTAGCTCAGGCTACAAGACAAGGTCCAGAGCAGAGCTTCTCAGCCTGTCTCCAACTGTGCCCCTCCCAACCTTGCTTCCTGACCATGATTCTCATGCTGGGTCCACCACGTAGGTGACTTTCACCATGGTCGTGCCCTGGTACTGTCCCGGGCTGAGAAATGCCGTCTCAAATCACGGTGGCCTGGGGCTCCCCTGGCGGGCTGAGCTGATCCCCCCACAGCACCTGCGCTGTGCTTGGCGTTGTCAGTGGGCCTGGACAGGGCTGCAGGCTCTCCACATGCCCGCGGGTAACGCCCCCGTACTCTCCAGCTGCTGCGTGAATATTCCCATTTACAGATGGAGGGGCTGAAACCCAGAGGGGCTCAGGGGCTTGTTAAGCTCACGCAGCACATGGTAAACCTCGGGGCCAGGATCAGATGCCCAGGAGGCCTGGTCCAGAAACCTGACTCCTTTTGTCCTGGGGGGTGGAGGAGGGTCACCCCATTGGTCCCCAGAGGCCACCAGGGAGACACCTGACAGTCTTGGGGAAAGTGCCAGGCTGGACCTTGGCGCGCTGTGCCGCCAGGCATATGCCGTATACTCGGCCCGGGAGCTGGCTTTGGGCCAGAAGTTCTGCTCTTGAACACGAGGCTGGACTGCCTCTCTCAGATCCCCAGACGTTCGCTGGGGTGTGAGTGCTGTCACGAAGGCGACGCTTCCCATCTGCGCCCGAGCGCTGCCGTGGGTGTCCCGGCCCAGCCTGGTGGGAGCTGGCGCGTGGGCTCGGGCGGGAAGGGGCGGGGCGGGCGCCTCAGCTGGGCCCTCTCCCTCAGCGTCAGCAGCTACGACAGGGGCCAGACTTATGCCACAGAGTGGTCGGACGACGAGAGCGGGAACCCGTTCGGAGGCAACGAGGCCAATGGGGGCTCCAACCCCTTCGAGGACGACTCCAAGGGCGTGCGCGTCCGCGCCCTCTACGACTACGACGGCCAGGAGCAGGATGAGCTCAGCTTCAAGGCCGGTACGGGAGGGGCCGGCCGGGGGGCGGGGCCTGAGGCCGGGGACGCAGCGATTTGCGGGCTTGCTGCAGGGGGCGGGGCCGGAAGGCCGGGGACGCAGCGATTTGCGGGCTTGCTGCTGGGGGCGGGGCCGGAAGGCTGGGGACGCAGCGATTTGCGGGCTTGCTGCTGGGGGCGGGGCCAGAAGGCAGGGGATGCAGCGATTTGCCGGCTTGCTGCTGGGGGCGGGGCCCCATCTGGACAGTGGCTGTGGTCCTTAGGGCTCACATCCTTGGGGCCTTAGAAAAGCAGGGACAGGGCTGGTGGGCATCAGTTAGGTGCCCAGCCAGAGCAGAGGCCTAGGATGGGGGTGCGGGGTGAGGGGAGTCCCCGCAGGGTCTGAAATGAACTGGAGGAGCGGCCGGGCCATGAGGTCTTGGTCAGCGGGGTGTGCAGGAGGGCCGGTCTCCAGGGGCCAGACCGCTGGGGGCTGCTCCCTCCGAGCCCCCGTCAACCAGCCCCTCTCTGTGTCCCCTTCCCAGGAGACGAGCTGACCAAGCTGGGCGAGGAGGACGAGCAGGGTTGGTGCCGCGGGCGGCTGGACAGCGGGCAGCTGGGCCTCTATCCCGCCAACTACGTGGAGGCCATCTAGCTGCCCGGCTCCCCACACACTCCCCCTCGCCTCTCCCTCACCGCGCCCTCCTCCCGCCCCCTCCCACGCCATAGAGTTCCAGACATATTTTCCGATCAAGCTTTTATTTTTTTAAACGTCAAAACAGAACAAAACAAAAACTACAAAGAGACAGAGCGTTTGCAGGGCCGCCTGGAGGCCAGGGCCCCAGGGCAGGTGAGGGTCTTAGCCCGCCAGACGTCACATCTGCTCTCCAGACCCCACCGGAGTGTCTCCTGAGCCGGGAGGGGCGGCTCCTGGACCCTTCTGTCAGCGCGCATCCCCGCCCCATTCTCCAGGCCTGTTTTTCTGATATCGTTGCAGTCAGCTTGCCCTTCCCACGCCACCTTGCTCTCCAAGGCCCTCCCCTCGGGGCTCCCCAAAAGGGGACTTCCGGTCTGTCATCTTTCACTTTGTCTTGGGGAGCCCCCTTTATCACCTAGCCCCACCCTCGGGACTGGAGTGGGGTTGGCGGAGGAAAAGGGCGGGGGGGCCTCTTCCCCTGAAGAGGAATCCTGGGGTCCCTTGCTTCCCCCGGATACGAGGAATCCTGGGGTCGGCATTGGTGTTCGTGGGGTGAAGGAGCAGGCCTCAGTCCTCCCAGCTCCCCATCCAGCCAGGGACCCGCCACCCCCTGCTGGACCCTTTCCCCCTCCACTGTCCGAGCAGCTCTTCCCCAGAGCCGCCCCCCCTTAGCAACTCACAGAGACCCCACACCCCTCTCAGATGTCTCCAGGCCCAGGGCACAGCCAGCAACAGTAGCAGCCTTCCAATTCGGGGAGGCCCCTGCCCCAGCGCCCCCTCCCCAGCCCCCACAAGGCACATCACCCTGCAGGAAAGCGAACTCGAGTGCCAGGCACGCCCCTCCGTCCCCTCTCTGGCCTGCGTGGGGGTCCCCAGCGGGGTTTCAGGGAGAGCCATGGGAACTTCCCTGCTGTCCGGTCCAGGTTTTGGCTGAGCGAGGAACTTTATTTCCTTGTGAAAAGTCAGGAGAGTGACTCTGTCTTCCCTGTTCCCCTCTGTCCCCTTGCGACCCCCCACCCCCAGCTACACCTCCCTGCTGGCAGCCCCCACAGTCCCCCCAGCCTGGGTCTCGGTAAAATAACATTTTGGGGTGGGAGGAGCTTTGGAGACAGAAAGAGGGGCTGGCTTACCAGGTGTGGGCACCAGGCAGGAACTGGGGGTGCTTGGGAAAGGGGCCAGTGCAGGATAAGACCCCGAGGCGGTGGGGAGGGTTGGAAGGGAAGGGGGAGGGTGACGTGCTGAAGATTCTGGGGGACCTGGGGAGCTGGGGAGCTGCCCCCTTTCCGAGGCCTGTAGGCCCTGCCCCACTCTGCATTGCATCATCTGGCAACTGGGCCCTCCTGACACCCCAGCCCGCCCCCCCACTCCGGCTGCCCCCCCCCCCCCCCCGACAGCTCCCTCATAAGCCGGGGGAGCCCAGCCAAGGTCTCCACACTGCGTGGGTGCTGTGTATCCTGGCGGTTCCGGGCCAGGGAGGTGGGGTACAGCCGCAGCACCCCAGGGCCTGTGGGCCCTCTCTCCTCACTGACTGTTCCGGGGTCTGGGCCTTGGGCCCAGCTGTCTGCAGCTCTGCGGAGCCTTGCAGTGAGTGGGGTGCCCTCAGCCCTGCCCCACTCCCCAAAGGCCCTCCAGCCTCTTCCGGCCGGTGTGGAATCAGGGGGCTCGCACCCTTGTGCCCTCGGAGGCCAGGAAGCTGGCACATCTGCACCTGGGGCCTGGCCTCGGCCTCGCTGTGCCAGTGGCTGCCTGGCATCGGGGGAGGGGCATGGCCCTGACCGCATCCCAGGCCTGTCCCCCTCAGAACTCAGCTGCCCATGGGGCAGGGACTCGACACCCCGTTCTCTCTAAGCACCCACCTCCGGGGCCCCGTTTGGGAGCCCTCTGCCCTGGGCCCCGACTCTCCTGGGTGGGGCCCAGGAGGGCTCCCCCACCCCCGGAAGGTCCCTGGGCTTCAGGGGCATGGGCCCCCCGTCATTGCGGTGCCAGGGCCCCTGGCCGTGCCCCCGCCTCCCGTAGCCTCCCGCCCGCACCCTCGATGCTGCACGGGCCCGTCGCGGGGCTCGGCGAGTCGCGTGTTTGTCCCCGTGAATCGCCCTCGCTCGCCGCCCTCGGCTTCCTGACTCCATTAGTCCGACACTTGTGAACCTCTGAGAAGTGCTGTGGTCTCAGCAATGCGCCTGTTTTGTACATGACTGTGTAATTTAAAGGCATATAAATACAAATATATATCGAGAGCAGTTGCGAGTGTGCGAGTGTGGTTAAAGCCCAGGCCTGTGTCACTCGGCTGCACACGCTCATCTCTGGCGTGTGTTTCCCGGGACTGGGCGCTGGCGCAGATCTTCCCCGGGTTCGTCTGCGCGAAGCAGGGACACGAGTGCCTCTGGGGCCCCCAGCACAAACCCCTCTTGGTTCTGGTGCCTGGCGACAAGCGTGGCTCAAAGGCCTGGCCCTTCCCCCAACACCCTCCTAGGGAAACTCGCACCACCCACAAAGCGGTTTGTTTTTGTTGTTTTGGGGCCGCACCTGGCGGTGCTGAGGGCTGCTCCCGGCTCAGGGGTTGCCCCTGCAATGTCGGGGGCCATGTGGGACGTGATGGAGCCGGGGGTCTCCTGCTGGCAAAGCTTGTATTAGCTTCCCGAGGTGTTGAATTTGGTTTGTTCATTTGGCGGCCACACCTGGCAGTGCTCGGTGATTATTCCTGATTTTGTGCTCAGGGATCACTGCGGCGGTGCTCGGGGGACTTTCTGTGTTGATTTTGATTGGGAGGGCGGCGGGGGAATACACAGCAGTGCTCAGGGCTTACTCCTACATCATGGGACCATATAGGGTGCTGGGTATTGAACCCCGCGTCAGCCCTTCCCGCTGTGCTATCTCTCTGGCCTGATTTTTTGAAGCAAAGATCTATGGGAGGCCGTAAGACCCGTGCGGCCCCTTGTCCCACAGTCCCAGGCTTCCTCTGGTGTGACATCGGGCCTGACCCCCCCATGGTGTCCTGCCTGGCCCCTACAGCACTTCTGCGTGGGACCCCCGAGAGGTTTGGGGGCCAGGCCTGGGCTCTGGGCCCTCTGTGGTGAGCCCCAGGCGCTGCCCATTGTCTCAGTCCCCAAGTGAGCGGCTTCCAGGCGGAGCTGTGGTCCCAGGGCCAGTTCCCACTCTGCCACCAGTTCACTGTGTCCCCACCCAGTGCCTTGGCTTCACCCACCCCTGTCTGGCTGGACGTTTCAGGAGCCACTCTGGCCCCAGAGCCTGGCAGGCGCCGGAACAAACCAAACCATAGCACAGCGGGGGGGGGGGGGGCACTTGCCTTACACACATGGCTTGACCCGGGTTCGATCCCCAGCACTCCAGATGGTCTCCTGAGCATCGGGTTCCTTACACCGCCAGGAGTAAGCCCTGAGCACCACCGGGTGTTGGTCTGGTGTTTGGGTTGTATTTTGTTTTGTTTTAACACAAAAACAAAAGATCTGTCACTAGATCAGCTCGGACCCTCCATGGTCCTTCACCCCACTGTCTGGCACCACTGCCCCGCCCACCGGCTGCCAGGCCTGTTGAGCGCTGGCAGGAAAGGCTAAGCTGAGGCTTGACTGCCCAGCACCTGTCTGCTTTATTCCCCAGGCTCACCCACAGCAGAAGCCGCAGGTTTCGTGACCCAGAACTTTTTTCAGTGGTTCCATGGGCAGCCCCCTGAGGAGGGGCTCTGGGAAAGGACAGGAAGTGGGCTGCCAGCCAACCGGGGACACACAGGAGCCCCCGGGCTCCCTGCTCCAAGGTCCTGATGCCCGTCCCCCTTCTCCCTGGCCTCCCCCTGCCAGCAGGTGTTTTCAGGGACTCCGGGGGGGCAGGGCAGCGGCTAGAGACAAAGCCAGTTCCCCAGAGCCAGGCTGGGTGCTGGCCAGGGGCCCAGACCGCCCTTCCTGGGGGCCGGACAGACAACAGGGGCCCAGCCGGCCGGGCCTGGGCCAAGGCACCCTCCTCCCCATCCCCACGACAGATGCCAAGGTGCTGTTTGCTCAGTGCCAGGAGCAAACCTGCTTCTGGAGACAATAAAATTGCTGGGGGCAGAAGGCTCTGTCCCAGGCAGCCGTTAACCCTCAGCAGTCCGGCCACACGGCTCCTGTGGGGTCCTTGGAAAGCGGAAACTGGCGGGGGGGATGGGCAGAGAGCTGGGGTGGGGTCCCTGCTGAGGCTGTTATGACTGAAACCGTTTCTTTGCCCCACAAAGGATGAGGGACCCTAAGAAAGGGCCCTGAGCACAGATGCAGCCGTGGGGGCCAGTAAGGAGAGCGGGTGGCTCCCGGGAGCCCATGGCACCCACACATACCTGCACCCCACTCACGGGCTCGTGGGGGGGCACTGTGTCCTTGGCCCCCGGCAAAGAGGCACTGAGGGCTCACAGCTTCCCTTCCACCCTGCCGGCTGCAGAGCCAGCACCCCCTCCCTCACCCCATTCCCACCGTCACTGCACCCTCCGTCAACCCCACCCCAGCACTCACCCCCACCCCAACGCTCAGCCCACCCTCACCTCCACCTTCACCCTCACCCCTGCTCTCTCAGCCCCAACACCCCCAGACAGAGACAAGAGCCCCTGTAGCACTGTCAGTCTCCAGCCCCATACCTCCCACAGAAAGCCGAGCTCAGCACAACAGGATGGGGGGGAGGGGCGTAATAAACCCCTCCCCCCTCCAGCCCAGCCACTGCCCTTGCAGCCTCCACCAGGCGAGGGGGGTCGGGGCATCCATTCAGTGGCCTCCGGACTCACCACCTCGCTCCCAAGCTTCTGCCATCACCTCTTGCAGGCATGTTCGGTGGGACTCAGGGCTCACTCCCAGTAGCGTGGGGGGCCAGGCCGGGGCCGGGGCTGGGCCTGGAGCTCCCACACACACAACCTTGGTCCCTCCGAGCCACCTCCCTGCGAACCAAGCCTTGCCCTTCCTTTGGGGTCGCACCTGGCCATGCTCACGGAACCATATGGGATGCCGGAGACGGAACCTGAGTCCAGTGTGTGCCAGGCAAGTGTACTACCTGCTGTACTATGTCTCTGGTCCCTAGACTCCGCTCAACACCACCTCCTCCAGGAAGCCTCTTCTGACCACTTCTGACCCCCTGCAACCACAGCCACCTTGAGTGCTGGGCCCAGCCAGCCACCGCCCCTCCGCCATTGCAGAGACATGGCAGGGGGATACGTCCATTCTTTAGCATCTTTATTATCCAAACTGGAGCACCCCTGGCTCCCCAATTCAGTGGTGTAGATGTCCCTTAGTATCATGCCAGGCACAATGCGAAGTAGGCAGCAGAGAGCACTGGAAGGCGAGTCACCATGGGCAGGTGACTGCAGCTCTGCCCCTTCCAGTCTGACAGGCAGAGTGGAGAGCAGGCCTGCCTTGGGGGGGCAGTGGACACGGAGGGCCCCTCCGGCCCCCTTGCACAGGGCCCATGAGTCGCCAGGCCTGAGGCGGAAAGCAGCTCCTTAGGGTTTCCCAGCCGCCCCGCTGCCCAGTGCCCACTGCCTGCTGGCCTCTCCCTGGGCAGGCAGGTGGGTGGGTGAGTCTCGGCTCAGATGGGGTGCACGAACTGGTAGACCAGGCGCTGGGAAATGTCGGGCTTGCGGATGATGCCCTTCTTGTAATACTGGCGGATGGAGCGGCTCAGCTTGTCGTAGTTCATGGCGGGGCGGTTCTTGCGGATACCCCAGAGCCGCGCCACCTGGGCCGAGTCCTCGATTTTGAAGATACCTGGGAGGAGTGGGCAGGCCCCAGGGGTTGGGGGGGGGGAGCAGCAGAAGGGAGAAAGAGGGGGAGCAAGAGTTAGTCTGACACGGGCTGGAGTGACAGCACAGCAGGTAGGGCGTTTGCCTTGCACATGGCCGACCCAGGTTCGGTTCCCAGCATCCCATATGGTCCCCCAAGCACTGCCAGGATTGGGATAATTCCTGAGTGCAGAGCCAGGAGTAACCCCTGTTCATCGCCGAGTATGACCCCCCCCAAAAAAAAATAGTCTGACACAGAGCCCGGGAACCATCAGGGCTAGGGGCCAGGCCTCCCCCCAGAGGTGGGTAAGGACGAGTCAGCCCCTGGGGAGCAGGACACACGTCACACACTTGTGGCCACAGGACAAGCCCAGGGCACCCTGGTGGGTTACAGGGACGGACCCTGGCCAGGCCCCTCCTGCAACCCCTGCACCCCCTTCTGCCTGCCACATACACATCCTGGGCAAGCCACCTCCACAGCCCTGGCATTGACTGACAGCCTGAACGCCCACGTGGTCCTTTGCACACACTGCAGCCCCCCAAGCCCTCCCTGAAGGAATTAAAAGGAGGTGGCAGGAGGAACGGATTCGAGAGGGATCAGCCGGGTTTGGAGCCTCTTCCTACTTTAGAACCTCTCTGTGCCCCCTAAGGAGGTCAGGAAGTTGTGGTAGCCACCAAGTGACAGGGGGGTGTTACAAGAATTGAGGATGGGAGCCCTTGGGATGAGCTAGTGCACTGCAAACCCCCTCCGCCACAAGCCCACCCACACTCAGCACACACTCCCTCCAGGAAGCCTTCCCTGGTCATCCTCACCTCCCTGATCTTCCTTTCTCAGATGGCAGTCATGAGGCCGTCTCAGACTTACACACAGGCAACTTCTAATCCCTCTCACTTAGCCCCGTACAGAGGGGAGGTCCTCCTGGCCCTTGGCCCTCTGCAGTCCAGCATGCACTGCACACATGCTCGTTGCACTGCTGTTGCTCCCTGTGGATAGCTGACGCCTCCCTGCACCTCAGGAGATGGCAGTTCTCTGTAAATATCTGCCGAGCGAGTATGGACCAGAGGCTTGACAAACTTCATAGTTTGTTGAGTGAATGAATTGTCCCATTTTGCAGATGAGAAGACTTAGGATTTGGCAGCCACAGCTGCTTGTGGCAGGAGGGGGGGTCCTAGAACCCAACTTCCTTGACTCTGAGCGGTTTTCAAACAGGTGCCCACAAGTGGCCCCCCACAAACTGCCTAGCCCTGTACTGTTCACCTAGCCACATGCGGCTCTGAGCACTTGAAATGAAATTTGAACTGAGATAGTATTAAATTACCTGATTTTGAAAACTTAGTTAATATTTTGGGGAGAGAGAACCTCCCGAGTGGTACTCAGCAAGTGCAGGGCCCCACCTGGGATCCTGGGCTCTCAGTACAGTGCAAGGGCCCAAGAATGTATGCTGAGTGGGCCCTGGATACGGGGGTGTCCGGACTATGACAGTGATACTTGGGCCCTCCAGGGCTGTACCCAGAGATACTGGAGGAACCATGTGGTACCAGAAATCGAACTAGGGTTGGGGGAAATGCTATGCATGTACCCTAACAGCTATAAGTATGTACCCTAACTGCTATACTATCTCCCGACCCTTAGTAATAATTTTATATTCACACGTTAAAATAATCATAAATTCTAATATGGGGTTAAATGTTAAACAGTATTAAAATTAAATTCACCTGCCTAGAAAGTTACTTAAAATCGATAATAACGGGCCAGGGAGATAGTACCGTTAACATGCTTGCTTGCATCCCACTCGCCCAATTCTCTGCGCCGCATAGCTCCCAGAGGACCACCAGGGGTCACTCCTGAGCACAGCCAGAGCACTGCTGGGTGTGACTTCAAAGACCCCAAGGCCACCCCTACACCCCCAATAATTGACGATGACAGACAGCTGGTCTGTAATGAAGGGGTCGCATTTGCTGTCTGAATGTCACACTGGGAAACTCCCAGCCCCCGTGGGACAGCACTGGGGGCCAATGAGACGTCAACACACAGCCAGCCTTGGGCCTCCCCTGGTCTTTCTCGGCTTCTAGCCACTTCCCAGGAAGCTGTGAGGCGTTGAGGGCAAAGCTGTGTGTCAGCTGCTCTATGGCCCTGCACGTCCCAGGACCACGTGGCTCTGAGGGTCCTAAACTGTTAAGGACTTCCAAGAGGGCAGCACCAAGGGCAAGGGGTGCAGGGCTGCTCTTCAGCTGGGACCCCCAGACCAGCTCCCGTGAACCCCAGAACATGCATCGTGGGCATCCCTGAGCGCCCGCAGGGCCCCCACTCACCCTTCTCCTTGTTGAGCCACCGGATGAAGCGGCCGTAGCTGTGGGGTTTTAGCAGCAGCTCCTTGAGGAACTGCCACAGGTGGATGGGCTGCCCGGAGCACGACGAGTCCACCTCGCTGTCCGTCCAGCTCTCCTCCACTGCAGAGGCTGGGTAGCCGGGAGAACAAGAAAGCAGTAAGCAGGGAAGTCCCCTGTAGTAATAGCAGACACCCCTGCACCGGAGTCTGCAGCCAAGAGCCCCGCCCTTCCCATCTCGGCCCCGCCCACCCACCCCAGGCCACACCCCAGGCCTGCCCCCTCCCGGCAAGTACCCACCCTCCCATCGAAGGCCACGCCCCCATGCCAGGCCCTCTCCCAATGAGGCCCCGCCCATTCAGCCAAGGCCCCGCCCAGCCAGCCAAGACCCCACCCCTCCTGTCCAGGCCCCGCCCACCCATCCAAGGCCACGCCCCCAGGCCAGGCTCCCTCCTAATGGGGTCCCGCCCAGCCAGCCAAGACCCCGCCCCTCCTGGCCAGGCCCCGCCCCTGCCAGCCCCTCCACTCCCGACAATACCCTGTTTCTCATTCATACCACAGTAGTGCATGGCCCCCGGCGAAGTCCTTTCTTTCATCCAGGCAGCTGTGGGGCAAGACCAGGAAAGACCCAGAATGGAGGAGGGCATGTGGTGGAATGGTGGTGGGCCATTGGCTGTTCCCCAGGATTCTGAGCAGGGCGTCTATTTCCAGTAGGGACCCCCAGATGGAGGAACCACAAGAACCTCCCGCAGAGCTCCTCTGATTGCAGCTCTGCCCGCCTCCTTTGCCCTCATGGAAGGTAGGCATCAAATGGTGGGAACTTGGGGATCGCCAGGCCCTCCAGCCGTCCTGCTCTCCGCCTAGCCCAAACCTGGCCCCTCCAAGGCTACTTGTGCTCACGTCACCCTTCTCTCTGAGCTGGCACTGCCTGCCCCCGGGATCGGGGTGTCCTGGCTGCTCACCTGTCTCAGACTGGGGAGCCAGGGACAGGAGTGAGCACTGCCACTCATCCAGGGGCACTGTGTCTCCTCGGGGTTTCCCAGGGGGCTCTGTGTCTCCCAGGGGGCTCTGTGCTCTGCGAGGCTCCGTGTATGTGCAGAGGGGCCAGACATGAGACCTTAAGAATCTAAAATGAGACCCTTAACTGGAAGCAGCTGACAAGGCCCTTCACTGCTGGGGAAAAGTCCCCTGGAACCTCGAAAGCAGAGAGGGGGCCTCAAGAGTCTTTGTGATTTAGAAAAATTTAAAAGCACATACATGGGCCAGAGCAAGGGCTACTTTCCCTGCATGCTGATTTTAGCTTATTTTTTAAAATGCACATGTTACATTGCTATTTCTCTAATGAAAACACAAAAAGAAATAATAAATTTTTTACACTTTCCTTTTGGGGAGGGGGAGAAAAAGGGAGGGAGTTCTGGGGCCATATCTTTAAGTGCTTAGGAGCTACTCCTGGCTCTGTGCTCAGGGGTAACTCTTGTGGTGCACAGGGGACCATATAAGGACGTCGCATTGAGGATCAATGAGGGTCAACCACGTCAAGGCAAGTAGCTTACCGCGTATGGTTTGGCTCAAGACACAAACAAAAATTTGAGTACAAAGGATGACTTCATAGCCCCACAGTTCATGCCGACCCTGACATTTGGGACTTCACAGCATTAATTTTTTTTTTTGGCCCAAAGCCAGCAGTGCTCAGGGCTTACTCCTGGCAGGCTCAGGGGGCCATAGGAGGTGCTGGGAATAGAACCTGGGTCAGCCTTGTGCAAGGCAAGCGTTCTACCCTCTGTACCAATTTTCTGGCCCCAAGTTCTAGCTTCATTTTTTGAGGTGCCACTCCTGGTTGCGTTGGGGGGTGCTCAGGGGGCCGTGCTGGGGATCTAAGCTGGGACAGGTCACAAGTCACCTGCTCTCCTGAGCCTCGTCCCTGCCCTGGGATGGTCCCTTCCCCACACTCCCCGTCCCCTCTCACCACAGGCCACCTGGCTGAACCCCTCTGGCTGGGCCCCTGTGAGGGGTTGCTCCCTCACGCCATGCCCACCTGATTTCCAGATGTCCAGGTGGGCGTGCAGCACGTCCCCGCCCAGGGGCGAGCGCTGGCGGAACTGCTCCTCCGACATGGCGCACAGCTCCTTGCCCCCCAGTTCCTGGAAGGCCTTGCCCACGGGGGGCAGCCGGTACTGGTGCTCAGTCCACAGGAGCCACTTCTGCACATTGCCAGGACTCCAGTCCACGGGGTCTGCGCAAGAGACACCCCTCAGGCCCCGGCCCCACACACGCACCCCACTCTGCTCCCATGGATCGGTCAGGGAGATCTGGGACTTGGGCTCCCGCAGAGGGGACAGGCCAGGCTGACATGGCCTGGAGGGGTCCTGGGGACAGGGGCGCCCAAGGAGAAAGAGGGTGAGGAAAAATCTGGGCCCTCAGGACAGACTTGGTTCAGGGCACACCTCTCCCCTACCCCCCAGAACTTGAGACCTCCTAGACCCTATAAAGAATCGTCTGGATCTTTTGAGTGGGGACTTGGGAAGACAGCACAGTAAGGTACTTCCATGCCAGGCCGACCCGGCTTTGATCCCTGGCACCCCATATGGCCCCCCCAAGCCCTACCAAGAGTGATCCCTGTGCACCGAGCCAGGAGCACTCAGGTGTGGCCCAAAGACCAAAACCAAACAAAGAAGAATCTTGGGGGAGCCCCACTGGGAAGGAAAGGTGACGCCCACTGAGAATTCCCCCCCTTCTCCCCCAGTGCCAACTGGGAGTTAGTCTCCACCCCACCCCCACTCCTGCTGCAGTTGACGATGAAACAGTTGAGGCATAAAGCAGCCTATGGTGTTGCCCAGCCCCCAACAAAGCGCTGGGTGCTGGAGCCCAGTCCGAAAGCAGGGGATGGCCCAAACAGAGTCCCTGGCAGGCCCGCGTCTCCCTGGGAGCCAGGGGGCCGGGATGGGGGGCAGTGACAATGGGGCCTCCGCGCCAACATGGTTCTGAGCCATGACCTCCAGGTCGGGCTGCCCGCACTGAGCAAACTCGTTTCCCTGCCCTGCCGGGTCAGAGCCATTCATTCCTGCCTCCATTGTTCCCAGGGCATCACCGGGAATGCTGCTCCATGGGAAAACCCTGGGGGTGGTGGGGCCAGGCACAGGACAGTGGGAGGGCTGGGCTCTGGGCAGGGGGTTGTTGGGGTGCAAGGGCCAGGCCCAGAGGACTCCATGGCCCGCCACTGGTCTGCAGACACACAGGCACTCCTGGTGGCCCCGCCCAGCCCACAGCGCCGGACAGCCACGTGTCTGGCTCTCTTTATTGGGGGCCTCTCTCGGGGTGATGCTCGGGGATTAATCAAGCCGGGCCTCTCTCTCGCCTGCACCCCCTCCTCCCTAGAATGCCAGCTCCAGGAACCAGGGGCTCTGGGCTGCCTCACCCCTTTGACCCCAGGGCCAATGCACCATTGGGCTGGGAAAAAGTTTGGGGAGCCTCTGTGGGGTGCAAGACTGGGATGGAGCAGAGACCGAGGCCGATGCAGGGAGGGGCTGTGGGTACACGTTCCAGGGGAAGACATGGATGGTCAACATGCTCCAGCCAGACAGCAGGACACGCCCGGGAGCGGCAGAGGGGGGCTGAATGGAGCAAAGACTTGATTATTATTATTATTATTAATATTATTATTTGCTTTTTGGGCCACACCAGGCGATGCACAAGGGTTACTCCTGGCTCTTGCACTCAGAAATGACTCCTGGCGGTGCTCAGGGGACCATATGGGATGCTGGGAATCGAACCCGGGTCGGCCGTGTGCAAGGCAAGCACCCAACCCGCTGTGCTATCACTCCAGCCCTTTGTTTATTATTTTTATTATTATTGGAATTTTCGGGGGGCCAGCCACACTTGGTGGTGCACAGGGCCCACGTGCAAAGCACACATGTCTCCTGGCTCTGTGCAGGGATCGCTCCCGGCTTGGCTGTGTGCAGGGCAAGTGCCCGGGCCGCCGCACTCTCTCTCCCATCCCAGGACCAGCAGCTGAAGGAGCCAAGGCACCTCATGGACATGGTGCGGGAGGGGGGGTGGGGGGGTGGCTCTGGGTGAGGAGGGAGCCCAGGAGCGGTGTGGGAGATCCTTGTAGTGGGGGTGAGCGCCCCCTGACCCCGCCCCCACCCCGGCAGGGAGCGAGGCGCCCCGGGCTCACCTGCCGTGATGTTGAGCAGCTTGCAGGCCGTCTCGATGTCCTTGAGCACCTCCCCCACCACCATGGTCTGCACCTGCTCCAGCGACTGCTCCTCCAGCGCCAGCGTGCCCGGCGCCAGGTCCAGGCTGCCCCCGGGGGCTTGGCTGTCGATGACCGGGCACTGCTCGGGTTCCTCGGGCCGCTCCTCGCGGCCGCCGCTGGCCGTGGGGCCCTTGGGCGCCCAGCTCCCGGGGTCGGGGCACAGCATGTCGAAGTAGGAGAGGTAGAAGGCCGAGAGGCCCGGCTCCGGGGTGCCCGGCGGGCTGGGGCTCCAGTCCTGCCGCTCAGGGCCCGCCGGGGCCACCACCTTCTCCAGGCCTGTCCGCAGCGCCGTGTCGGGGGGCAGGAGGAGGCGGCTGGGGGCCCCGCTGAGGCCCGGGCTGGCACTGCCCATGGTGCCGCGGCTCAGCGCGGAGGCTGCGTCTGCGGGAGCGAGCAGAGAGAGAGAGAGTGGGGGGTCTGGGGGATGCTAGGCGGGTTGCTGGGATGAGGGGGTGCACGGGAAGTGCCCGGAGCAGGGAGAGGGGCAGCTTCTGGGCCACTGGGAGGCAGGGACAGGGCTAGGCAGGAGGAAACGGGCAAGTTGGGAGCAGGGGTGCAGGGGCAATGGGTATCCCCCACAGGAGGCCAGGCCCCGAGACTAGGGAGCCAGGCGCTGTGAGCAGGAGGGCTTCGTGCTCGTGGGGGACTCAGTTCCACTGGACACATGAGCCGGGGTCCCGGGGGTTAGGCTCCCCAGCCCGCAGAGGTTTCTTCTGAGGGCTCTGGCTGGTCCCGTACTCTGCACGCCGGCCTGGGAGGGAAGGGAGAAGGCCACAGACACGCCCACCAGTGTCCCCCTGACCGTGTCCATGCCCCCGTGCTCGGCTGGGCTTTGTTTCCCACACGGGCGTTGCTCTTCCCAGGAAGCTGTCCCCTCAGGGTGCTCCCCGAGCCTCCCCTCTCCCCGCAGCCCCGGGGGGGGGGGGGACAGGGTTGCTGTGGGGCTGGTGCCCTTGGGGTGGCCTGGGGCTGCTCTGAGAAGGTTCCAGGGACACCCAGCCCTCAGCGACCCTGAGGCATCCCTGTGGACCCGAGGGGCCTTCCCCGGGACCTCGCAGGGTGAGGAGGATGGTGACTGACCCCAGATCAGCTCCCTGGGCTCCCTGTGTATGTGTGTGGGGGGTGTCTGAGCCCTTTGGGGTGCACCTTCCCAGGAGACTCACTGGGCTTTGATCACATGACTATCGGAGGGGGGAGGGGTGGTGCCCTGCTCCAAGCCTGTCGTTCCCCACCAGCAGCCAGCAGCCCCCGCCCCCTCCTGACCCGTGTGGCCACAGGTGGGCCTGGGGAGCCGGCGGGAGCAGCTTCGCCCTGTGGCCGGCCCGTTCCTCTTGCTCTCTTTAGTGGTGCCCACGCTTGCTGGGCGGGAGTGTGTGCCAGGCGGGGGAGGCTGTCCTGTGATTTCCACTTTCCCTTTGAAGGGCTCCTCCGAGTGCCAAGGAAGGAAAGGTCAGGGGGAGGGGGAGCGGGACGGGGTGTCTCGGCGGACACGGCAGGTCTGGCGCCATGTCAAGGCCTTCTGTGTAAACACACGTGTGTGCTGTGGGCCCGTGGTATTTACCCAGGCAACACCAGCAGCCCTCTCTGCCCTGGGTCCCCACCCTGCCCGGGGGCCCACACCCTTCCCCCTTGGGGCCCCACCCCTGCAGCGCCCCTCTCCACGTGCCCCCCCTCCCCCGTCCCACCCGCCCTATCCAGGTCCCCAGCCCTCCCGTAGTGCCACGTTAGGACAGTCTCTGCCAACAGCCCGGGCCGTGGGCCAGGGAGACGGCACCTCTCCAGGAAGCAGAACCTGCTCCAGGTGCCCTCCTGTGGGCGGGGGCTGGAGGCGGGGGCGCGGGGTGGGGATGCAGGGGGCCACGATGGCTGGAAGGCTGGGGCGGGGGGTGTTTGCTGGAGCAGGGGCCAGGGTGCAGCCCTGAAACAGTTAGCAGAGCAACTCCTGAGCCAGACACCCTCAAATACATCCTCTGCCCCCAGGCCAGAGGCAGCCCGGGCCACCCGTGTCCTGCTTCCCGTGAAGGGCAGGAAGCTCAGGCTCGGGCCCACATCTCCAGACTCCTGACTCAGTGCTCCTCCTTTTACTCCACATGCCTGCCCCCGGCACCTGCTCTCAGTCAGACACTGACACTTCCCAGCTCCCACGGGTTCCCGGGGATAGAAGGGGCCGGCAACGGGCAGGGGAGAGAGCCCCGAGGCTAAGACGCTTGCTTGGTGTGCGTTGCCCTGGCTTATACCCCTGACACCACAAATGGTCCCTCAGCCAGGGGTCACTCCTGAGCACAGACCAGAAATAGCCCCTGAACACTGGTCTCCCATCACCCCCCCAGAAAGGGCCACCAAGCACGGGTCACAGGTGGGGCAGGACGTGCCTGACCCCAGCAGCCCAGGCGAGAGCAACCTCAGCTTGGGGTCAGAGGTCAGGGCTCAGAGGTTGTTCTCCCAGCTGGGGGCAGAACCAGGGAAGAGAGAAGGGTCTCTGGGTGGTCCCTTCCCATCACCACCCGCAGCCTGGGCAGCTGCCTGGAACCCCACAGTGGATTCCACCTTGAGATGCACAGCTCAACCATGGCTTGCTGGGGGGCACCGGGGGAGGGGGGTCTCTGCCCCCGGATTCCCTCTCGGGCTCAGGGCTGGCGGCCCACCTTCCCAGAGCCCTGCTTCTCCTGACAGGCCTGCAAGATCCACCTACCCCGTGGTGCTCGGGGGTTACTCCTGGCTCTGAGCTCAGAGATCACTCCTGGTGGTGCAGGGGGACCGTATGGGATGCCGGGGATCGAACCCGGGTCGGCCGCGTGCGAGGCAGAGTCCCTCCCTGCTGGACGATGTCTCCGCCCCCCGGCTGAGCTCATTCTACTCCTGTGCCCTTTCATCTGGACACCTCTGCCTGGGAAAGCCCCTGGCTCCCCGCGCCCACCCTACCCTGTCCTCATGGCCACGGCTTGCTCTGAGGTCACCACTGCCCGGCCCAGACATCCGAGCGGAAGGGGCTGGGTGCTCGGACTGCTTCCTACAGGGCACTTCGGAGTCCAGAGGAGCAATGCACTCGCTGGCTGGAGACGGGGTCTGAGTCACACAGGACCCGACCAGAAGGGCCTGACTTGTTTCTTACCACGGACCTTTGGCCCAAGATGCCCCTTTTCTTTTCATCCCAGTTCAGCCTGCAGCCCTCCTCCCCTAGGATGGCTCCCAGACTGCTCCCCCTGGCTCTCAGTGCTCCCTATCTGTGCCACTCATTCAGCCACACGCACGTTCCACGGGAGGGTCTTTCCAGAGGACCAGGGTTCTCTGGGGGAAATGAGGCCCAACATGTAACAGTCTGGACGTGACTACAGGCCAGCCGGCCCCCGGCCACTGCTCCCCGGTCACCTAGGCCTGGGATCCTGAGATGCTGCGGGCCCAGGCCCCACCGGCTTCTCCACCTCGAGCTGATCTGATAAAGCCTCCTGGCATCTGGATTAAGCCTCGGTCCTGACTCCCTCCGTCCCTGCAGTCCCTGGCGCCACATGCACACGGAGAAAGCCGGTGACCCCTGGGGGAGGGTCCGGGATCCCTCTGGGTTGGGGTGGGGGACCCTGCCCTCCCCTGCCTGCCCTCCCCTGCCCACCCCTGCCAGGAAGGCAGGAAAAGGGGAGAGGGGAGAGGGTCTGTGAGCCAACCGGCCGCTTCCTGCCTCTGACCAGGCTGTCCAGGCCTCGCTGTGGGCCAGGACGGACCCCTGCACCCCACCTGCCCCTGAGGCCCCCAACCTGGGGCAGAGCAGCCCAGAGAAGTGGAGTCGACTGGCCCCTGTCTGGGGACCGGCCTGGTCTCTCTACTTCTCGCTGTCAGTGCTCGGGCAGGCGGGGGCGGGGGGCAGTTTGACCCACAGCGATCCTGGGCTCAGGTGAGTCTGAGCGCTGCTGGGGGGGCGGACCCCTTTCCACAAACAGGGGTCCTGCTCCAGCCTCCGAGGGCATCTGCTGTCCAGTGCTCCTCCCCTTCCCCCCCCACCCCTGCTCCTTTGACATGTCGGGACACAACGAGGGTGTGACCAGGCTGGTTTGCAGAGTGGACAAGGGCCTGTAAATGGCCCCAACCAGGCTCCGGCTGGCCTGAGACCCCCAGGCTGAACCCCCAGCCCGCCTGAACACTGCTGCCCCCTGCCGGCCCCCCACCCTCGCACCACACTTGTCTCCCTGAGGCTGACCCTCACTTCCCCCCTCCCCCCGCCCCCCTTCTGTGCAGTAACTATTGCCCCAGGCTCTGTCCTGCAGCTGCCCACAACTGCGCCCCGGGAACTGGCCTTTGTCCACTGGACAGAACCCTGTTTCTCGGGGGTGGCTCGGCCATCCCTCAGCCCCCACCCGGCTGGCCCCAGTTGGGGTACCCAGGGACAAAGAAGAGGGAGGGGTGGGGGCAGCTGAGGTTTCCCGGGCTGTCTGGCTTTCGGGGGAGCACATGCTTCCGAGGCCCCTGATGTTCTCACACCGCCTCAGGCCCTGAGCTGGCTTCCTGGGGTGCTCTGTTCTCTTAGACCCCAGCAGGGGTGGGGGGCCTCAGGCCTGGGGTGTGGGGGAGCCGTGGGGATGCGGATCAGAGGCTCACGGGGCGGGCGAGGGGCACAGAAAGGAGCAGCAGCGAGTGGAGCGAATGGAGACTGTCCCCAGCGCTCGGCCTGGGCCGGGAACCCCAAGTCCCTGCCATGGGGGCTCCAGGGGACCCTCACCCTCAAGGATGCCCCACCACCCTGGACCAGGGTGCCCCTGAGAACAGCCCCCACCGGTCCTGGGGTGACAGGTCAGGCCTGCCTTGGGGACCCCACATGTGTCTGGGGGCCGAGGGCCGACGGGGGGCCTGGAGCTCGAGCCCATCCTCATTTCAGACTTCACACCCCAGTGAGCCCCTTTGCCTTTGTTCAGGCAACTCGCTGACCCGATGCCCGGAAACACCCGCCCTCCCCAGGGACCACTGGGATCGTGGGGGTTGTGGGGCCTCTCTCAGCCCTAGCTCACCCTAAACTCGAGTGGCTCATAAGAAGGGCCGGGAAGGGCTCAGTGCCTCTGGGGGTGTGGGCTTGGGTCAGGCCCCACCAGGTCTGTGACTTCGCCGGCCTCCCCTCTCTGCTCCCTGTCCCAACGGGGGCGAGTGGTCTCTGTTCTGGGACGCAGGGAGCCTCCTTCTGCGTCCCCCCACACCACCACGGGGTTTGAGGATGGATGGAGCAGTAGAGGGGCCCTGGACAAAGACTCTTCAGGGCTGACACTGTTGGCAGGGCGGGGTGTGGCCGGCTCCCTTCTGGGGTGGGCACCTGAGCCAACCCCCCGTCCCTTAAACTGCCCTCACGGCACACACTGTCCATCGGGTCCTGCC